TCTGTTCACCTTTTCTTACCTATCCTCTCTCACTTGCATCATCATATCTCACTTGCTATCCCCATCATTCGCCTATCTATTCGCGTATTATTTGTCTCCCGCTCGCGGTCATTCCTCTTCGTAGCTCATATTCATGTCCTCTCTCAACAGTATCTTAATTCTCGAATAATTCTCATTAATTTATTTAAATAAACCTGAGGACAATATCGCAGCGTAATTCTAATGACATAGAATAGGAGGAACGGTAAACGAAAAGGAAAAATAATTTAAATTTTTTTTTACTATAATATACTTATTTATTTGTCATGTAGCGCATTATACACAATAGTATCTAAAGCGTAGGCTAATAATTCACAATCAATAATTGAATTTTCATCATAAATTTCACGCAAAATATTTGCCGCATTACATCTGTCGATGATACATTTCCGCCGTAAAATAGTTACAAATTGATTAAATTTCATATTTACTTCATGCGTATTTTGATACAGCTTGAAATATTCATGTTTGACACATTGTCCGAGCTCGAATATGAAAAGCATAGTTGACGGTTTCATGTACAAGCTGGTGTTGCACGATGTCAATTTTACAACACTCGCATCGCGCATTTTTACGAGTTCTATAACAGCATCGTGAATCGATAACGAAGAACCGATAGTTGACTCCAAAAGTTGTTCAATATCCATACGTCTTTCGATGAGCGCCGTCCACGTCGCATGGGGTAACACTATCTGATTTCCTTGATTATCGCCAATAAGTATATCCACAAAGGACATAGGTCCCACGTTGATTCCCACATCCAAATATTTGTAAGCTGTAGATGTCAAGGCAAATCTCCTTCCCAAAATACGTGGCATACAACGGGGTTTATCAAAACTGAAAAAATACAAATAAATAAGCAAAGGTATGTAAACAGTTTATGCACAATTATATACAAAATAACGGTACTTACTCATTATGCTGTTTCGTACACGACTCATTTTCAATCGGAACGTAATAATTCGCACCGTGAGTGTTCATCGTATCAGGAGAGTGTTTGCGACGTACTCGAACCGTATCAAACTCTTGACTGCGCTCTAGAATCCTCGTAGACCATTTATACATACCAAAAACTGCAAATCTTGCAAAAATAGCGCCAATGCACGGCTGCTGCATGGTGACCACCACCACAATCCACATATACGTTAAATGTGATATCTTTGTCAAGAACATTCGTGATGAGATCACCTCATCGGGCATCAAATATGATTTCTTTTCAAGAACATATGTGTCTCGCGATGATTTCATCGAACACGTGCAAAACTGCAAATTTTGCAATTTCGCATAAGTCAATGACATGGTACCTTTTTTCAAGAACATGTCGCAACGCGTCTCGCGATGATTTCATCGAACACGTGCAAAACTGCAAATCTTGCAATTTTTCGGTTAGCGCAAATGTACGGATGCTGAGATCACGGTGAAATTAGATATGCTAAAAAATCAAACGATGCATCATTAGTGAGATATAAAATGACGAATCTGGGGGTACGCTCAGTAGTCGAGAATTGAAAGTCGTGAGCACAACAAATTGTGTTAGAAAGAGGATCGTGTAATAACATGGAGCAAGAGTTGTTAGAGCAATCCACCCTATTAAATTCGCGGGAAGAATTTACCGCGTGGGAGCAACGATGTGACGAATTTATCGAATCGTTGAAAGAACAAAGCCGAATTAAACGGCCGCGATTATCGATCGGTCTTAAACAGTCATTGATCGCTCGTATCGCACGACTAGAAGGTCTGAAAGATTCGGTACGTCAACGTTTCGTGCATGTGGGAGCAGGATACAGTGCAAGTGAGACAGGACTCAGATGGCGCGAGATAGATACGGCTTTTAAAATTCGTATATTGACTGGTGCGGTAATAAATTCCAAACACATCGACCCTCATCAATTTCTCGAAGATGCGGGAGACATTGTACTCGATCGTGTGCGGAACGTCATGCAACGACATGACAATGTAAAAATTAACACAATGTTTAATGGTGAATTTGTTGCGGGCGACAAACGCGCGAATAAAAGTATCGCTACGAGAAACTGTGAACTATTTCGTACATCCGATCTGCAAGAATGGTACGTGTCGCGCGTTATCGAGCCTACCCTAGCATCGCTGGAGGAATTCCAGGAACGTGATAGCGGGTGGGCGTTGTCGCGTATACACAATTTGACTGTTAACGTAAACATGTACAATTCATTGCACGCGGGGTGTTTTG